TAGGAGGGGATGAGGGGATGGAGAGAAAGAGGAGCGTGGGAGGAGGAACAACACTAGATCGTAGAAAGGGGAGGATGCTGATGACGATGATGATTATGATGATGATGCTGATGATGATGATGCTGCTGATGCTGATGATGGTGGTGATGGTGATGATGATGTTGATGGTGATGGTGGTGATGCTGCTGATGCTGATGACGTTGATGATGATTATGATGGTGATGGTGATGCTGATGATGATGATGATGATGATGATGATGATGATGATGATGATGCTGATGCTGATGACGATGATGATGACGACGACGACCAGCGCGACGACGACGACGCTGCTGCTGATGCTGATGATGCTGATGATGATAATGATCATGGTGGTGGTGGTGGAGGTGGTGATAATGATGGTGACGATGTAACAGGTTGTTTTTGTTGGTGGTTGTGGTGGTGGTGCTGATGGGGATGTTGATGTTGTCGGTGTTGTTGTTGTTGTTGCTGTTGTTTTTCCTTTTTGTTGTTGGTGGTGGTGTGGTGGTGGTGGTGGCGGTGGTAGTGGTGGTGTGGTGGTGATGGTGATGCTGGTCATTATGAGGATGAGGTTGATGACGAAACTGATCATGACGATGATGACGATGATTACGATGCTGACGATGCTGACGATGCTGATGATGTTGATGCTGATGATGCTGATGATGATGCTGCTGATGAGGAGGATGCTGACGATGATTATGATGCTGATGATGAAATCGATGATGCTGGTGCTGATGATGATAGCGATGACGATGATGATGAGGATGAGCTGGATGTTGATGATGAGGATGACGATGATGATGATGATGCTGATGATCAGGAAGAGGAGGAGGAGGCGGAGGAGGAGGATGCGGATGCGGATGCGGCTGCGGATGCGGTTTCGGATGCTGTTCTGGAAGCGACTGCGCATGCCCATGATAATGATGATGAGAATGATAATGATGATGATTATGATGATGATGATGATGAGTATGAGTTTGATGATGCTGTTGATCAAGCTGCTGACGATGATGATGATGATGATGAAGATGATGGAGATGGTGATGGTGACGATGATGATGTTGATGATGATTATACTAATGATGATGATGCTGATGATGCTGCTGCTGATGATGATGATGATGATAACGACGACGATGATGACGATGATGATGACGATGATGATCATGATGCTGGTGATGCTACTGATGATACTGATGATGCTGCTGATGGTGATGGCGATGACGATGCTACTGATGATGATTATGATGGTGGTGGTGATGATGATGATGATGATGCGGATGACGATGATGACGATGACGATGACGATGACAATCGCGATGACGATGGTGATGACAATGATGATGATGATGATGATGATGATGATGGTGATGGTGGTGGTGGTGGTAGCGGTGGTTCTGGTGATGATGATGAGGACGACGACGACGGCGATGATTATGATTATGATGATGATGATGATGATGATGATGATGATGAACATGCTGATGATGATGAGGCTGCTGCTGCTGCTGATGATGATGATGATAGTGATGGTGGTGGTTGTGGAGGTGGTGGTGGTTATGATGATGATGACGACGATGATGATGGTGATGACGATGACGATGATGATGATGGTGATGGTGGTGGTGGTGGAGACGGTGGTGGTGATGATGAAAGTGATGATTCTGGTGGTGGTGATGATGATGACGACGATGATGATGATGATGGTGATTATGATGATGATGATGATGATGATGATGATGATGATGATGACGATGACGATGATGATGCTGGTGATGATGATGATGATGATGATGATGATGATGATGATGATGATGATGATGATGATGATGATGATGATGATGATGATGATGATGATGATGATGATGATGATGATGATGATGATGATGATGATGATGATGATGATGATGATGATGATGATGATGATGATGATGATGATGATGATGATGATGATGATGATGATGATGATGATGATGACCTCACCCCCGCGGATGCAGTGCAGTGCGGTTACGCCGTGTCCTCCTGACCTTGGCCGCACATTGTACGCGCGCTCCCCAGAGCGGCTCGATCGGACCTCAGACCCCTGCACTCCCGGACGCGGATGGCGACGAGAACACCCCCCAGGCTGCAGACTGCCAGGCTGCCCTGCTATTGCTCCTGCTGTCTGAGGCCAGGGGTTTTCGGTAGTAAATCATGGGAGCCTTGTGTGTCTTCGTGACGGAATTTAGAGTGCATGAGCGTGCGCTGGCGTCTGGTGATCGACGAGGTAGCGCCGATCTAGCGTCGATCAGCGTCAATTCAGCGCGGATCAGCATCGATTCGCGTCGGCCAGTATCGATTCGCAAGAGCCAGCAGGATGGCGTGTGAGGCTCCCATGAGTTGCCACCGAAGGGGTCTATGGCCAGGCATCCCACCCCACCGAAGGGGTCTTGAAGCATGTCAAAACATGGTTCTCGGGACTTCCACGCCACGGATCAAGCTGACTGCTGCGTCCTGGCGATCTGGAATCGTGCCGGAAAGTCGTTTTTGGGACTTCAACGCCGCGAATCAACATAACTGTTGCGCCCGCATAATCCTGAATCCTTCCAAAACACCATTGCTGGTACGTTGATCAGGTGACTCCCTGAAACTCTTGCAAATGTTTAAAACGAATGTGCGCGGTGCTAATGCGAGAGCCACATTTTGAAAAAGGAACCGCCTTCAATCTGGTGAAAGTCTTGCAAATTTGAAAACGAATCTGCGCGGCGCCAAGGTGAGAGCCACATATTGAAAACGACCTGCTATCAATCCGTGAAGCACTTGCAAATTTTGAAAACGAATATACGCGCCGATCACGCGAGAGCCCATTTGGAAAACCACCGCCCTCAATCCGTGAAGCTCTTGCCATTTTTTACACCGAATGTGCGTGACGCTAAGGCGAGAGCCACATTTTGAAAAGGAAATGCTTTCGATCCGGTGGAAGTCTTGCAATTTTTGAAAACGAATCTGCCCGGCGCCGAGGCGAGAACCACATATTGAAAACGACCCGCCCTCAATCCGTGAAGCTTTTGCAGATTTTGACAACGAAGGTGCGTGGCGCTAAGGCGAGAGCCACATATTGAAAAGGAACCGCCTTCGATCCGTTGAAAGTCTTGCAATTTTGAAAACGAATCTGCCCGCCGTCAATCATTGAAACTCTTGCAAATCAGATTCTGAAAACGAAGGTGCGCGGCGATCAGGCGAGAGCCACATTTTGAAAACCACCCGCCCTCGATACGTGAAACTCTTGCAAATTTTTGCAGCGAGCGTTCGCGGCGCTAAGGCGAGAGCCACATTTTGAAAACGGCCCGCCCTCCATCTGTGAAGCTGCTGCCGATTTTCAGCTTCAGAGTCATACGTGGTGAGGAAGTCTTAGACGAAGCGCCCAGCCCGCCCTAAAAACTGGCCTCGGGGTGCGACAGGGAAAAAGTTATTTATAAGGAAAAGGAGTGGAGGAGAAGGCGGGGGAGGAGGAAAACGAAGATGGTGATGATGACGAGAAGGTTGTGGAGAAGGAGCGGAAGGATCTGGAGGAGGGGATGAGGAGACACGCCCACCTGGAGAGAGCCATTAGCCCGGGCAGCTAAAGCGCCGGCCCGGGCTGCTGGGCAATTGCCGGGCCGAAGACGGGCTCGTAGGTCATCTGCCACTCTTGCCCCCTCCGCGGGAATTTCGACACCGGTCCTCCTCCTCGTCCTCTCCCCCTCCTTCCTCTCTCCTCCCCCCTCTTCCCTCATCCTCCCTCCTCGGCCTGTCTATACCCTCTGGCGGTCCATGTCCCTCGAAGAAGATCGAATACATGAAGCGCGCCAGTGGCTGCACTGGAGGCGCCGCGAGGGGGGGTCCAGCGCCGATCCAAGAAATCCGCGCCGACCTGAGGTCGGCGCGGATTTTCTGGATCGAAGGTCGCCGACCGCCAGGAGGTCGTCAACCTCCGAAAATGTATTTTAATGCAGTTTCCCCCTCGTCCTCCCTCGTCGTCCCTCCACCGTGCCTCCTCATTCTCCCTCCTCGCTCATCGTCGCTCCCTCCTCCCTCGTGCCTCCTCCCTCCTCGTCCTCCCTCCCTACTCGTCCTCCTGGTGCCGGCGCCCTCCGAGGGGGCTCCGGCGCAGCGTCACCGTTGGTGCCCCCTCACCAGATTGGGAGTTATTCGCCGTCCTCCTTCTTTTTCCTCCTCCTGACCCTCGTCCTCCTCCTCATCCTCCTCCTCCTCGTCTGCTTCCTCCTCCTCCTCTCCCTCCTCCTCCTCGTCCTCTTCTTCCTCCTCCCTCCTCTTCCTCCTCCTCGTCGTCGTCCTCCTCGTCCTCCTCCTCCTCCTCCTCGTCCTCTCCCTCCTCCTCACCCTCTTCCTCCTCCTCCTCCTCCTTTCCCTCCTCCTCCTCCCCTTCCCTTTCCTCCTCTCCTTTCCTTTCCTCCTCCTCCTCCTCCTCCCCTCCTCTCCTCCTCCTCCTACTCCTCCTACTCCTCCCCTCCCTCGTTCTCTCCTCTCCGCCTTCCGCCTCCGCCCCCGCCTCCTCCTCCTCCTCCCCTCCTCCTCGCCTCTCTTTCTCCTCCTCCTTGTCCTCCTTCTCCTCCTTCTCCTCCTCTCTCCCTCCCTCCTCCTCTTCCTCCCTCCTCCTCCTCCTCCTCCTCCTCCTCCTCCTCCTCCTCCTCCTCCCCCTCCTCACCTCTTCCTCTCTCTCTCTCCTCCTCCTCCTCCTCCTCCTTCCTCCTCCTCCTCCCTCCCTCCTCCCTCCTCCTCCTCCTCCCTCCTCCTCCTCCTCCTCCTCCTCCTCCTCCTCCTCCTCCTCCTCCTCCTCCTCCTCCCTCCTCCTCCTCCTCCTCCTCCTCCTCCTCCTCCTCCTCCTCCTCGTCTCCCACCGACAGTCGCCCGCAGTGGTAAGGATGCACGGTGCGGGTACGAGAGCCTTGTAATTGAGTGTTGGCCGCCGCCGCAAGTGAACGCATAGGAGCTGGCAAGCCGAACTACAGAAGGCTTCGCCGAACAGACAAGGATGCAATGATTCTTCGAAGCGCTGCATCCTTACCCCTGCGCGTTTGACGGCACTTCTCCCGTCCCTCGTCGCCTCATCCCCGACCCCCCCTTTTGCCCAGAACGTCTTTGGTGCCTCCAGAGGGACATTGAGTCGGCGTCGAAGTTTCTCTCGGGGTTTATCGTTCAGTCCCAGGCCCGTGCCCAGGACACGATCGTGGCGCCGAAAATGCATCGCAGTCATCACCGTCACCCGCCGTCGCCGTGATATACCCACGCTCTTGGACAGCATTTTGACGGTCTCGTGCTGGCCCCTGCTTTCCCTGCAGGTTTGGCTTTCTTCGAGCGTCTGCGCAGCATGCGCACGCATGCCAAGTTGCAGGCTAAATGCTTGACCAGGGGTTTGCTTCCCCTGCCTGGTGCCAGGTTGCGCCCTCTGTCCCTCTTTTGTTGGGTGTGGGGTTGCTCTGCTCTTTGGACGCTGATATTTCCCGAGCCTCGAGCTTCCGCCTACAATGGATCCAGGCATTATCTTCTCACGGCAGCTCTTGATACTGCAGCACCCACGATGCTACCAATGCTGCTGCTACCACTGGGAGTACCACCACACCGCCAGACATTTCGCAAGTTGGCAGGACTTATCGTAGCAGCAGTAGCCGTAGTCGGAGGTTGGGGAACGAGATCGCCGTGGAACGGAGAGCCCCCCACCGGGAAATCGGTTTCGATTTTGTGTTCGTGTCGTGCGTGCGGGCGAGGCGAAGCTGCGTGGGCGCGCGAGAGGACTGACCCCGCCGTCGCTAGGGCGATTCGGATGCAGTGTACCGCCCCTCCGCCCTTGGTGGGCGCGCGGTGGCCTGGGGTGTCCCGCCGTGGTGTCCTGTGGTGTCCCGTTAGTGTCCTGTTGGTGTCCAGTGGGTGTTCCGTCGACGGTGGGCTGGCGGTGGCCGTGGGTGTCCCGCCTTGGTGTCGATAGTGAAGTCCATAATGAGATCGGTAATGAAATCGCTAGAATGGGATGGAGTGAGATCCAACGTGAGATCGACAGTGAGGTTGATTGCGACATTGGTTGTTACATAGAAAGCGTGGACGATAGTGACATCACATCGCAGTGCAACATCGTCATCACGTGTCGTCGCTAACTCGAGGGCGTGTCGCCAGCATCGTCATCATCACACCCATCGTATTTGCCAGCAGTTGGTTCTCCCCCCCCCAAACGCATTATCAGCCGAAGGGCGGGCAGGACCTCCAGGGAATCCTGGCGATCGCAGAGGACGAGTCCACGTTGCTCTCCGGCATCGCGTTCTTCGAGTTCCAGGCAAGCTGGGGAGAGCGGGTGGCCAGCGTCCCTGGATTCGGCGGCGCGCCGAGGAGGAAGTGAGAGGGGGGATGCCTTCTCAGAAGGCGGCGCGGCTCCGAGCCTTCTGCGAAACCGCGCCGCCTCTGCCGTTCCACCTGGCGCGCCGCCGATACATTTAATATACATATATATATTTATATATGTTTGTATAAGGGTATATGTATATGTTTATGTATACAACTGTACACATATTTACACGTATACATCATTTGTATGTATATATGAATAGATGCATGCATGCATGTATGCATTCATGTATGTGTGTATGCATGTATGAATAGGTGCACGTATACATGTATGCATGCATGCATGTATGCATGTATGCATATACGTACGTACTCTTGTATGCATGTATGTGCTAATGTATGCATGTTTGCACGTATGTATGGATGCATGCATATATCCATGTATTTGTGTATGCATGCATACATGCACGCATGTATGTATGCATGCATGCATGGACTTACGTAATGCGTGTATGTCTGTATGTATGTCTGAATGTATGTATGTACGTATGCATGTATCTGTTTATGTATGTATGCACGCATGTATGGACATATGCATGTATCTATATAGGCATGCATGAATGCATATGTGTATGCATGCATGCATGTCTTTATACACATATATCTATGGTTGCATGCATGCACATGTATATGTATGTATGCATGTATGCATGTATGTATGTATGCATGTATGTTTGCATACATACATACGACTTTCTGTCTGTACGTACGTATGTTGTCAATGTATGTATACATGTATGTCTGTCTACGTCTATATATATATATATTTATATACATTTATATAGGTCTGTGCGTATGTCTGTATATTTTTATGACTGCATGTATCTATGTATGTATGTTCATATGTATGTATGTATGCATGCATGCGTGCATGTATGTATGCATGTATGTATTTATGCATGTATGTATGCATGTATGCATGTATGCATGTACGCATGTATGCATGTATGCATGTATGCATGTATGCATGCATGCATGCATGCATGCATGTATGCATGTATGCATGTATGCATGTATGTATGTATGTATGTATGCATGCATGCATGCATGCATGCATGTATGTATGTATGTATATATGTATGTATATATATATATATATGTATGTATGTATGTATGAATGTATGTATGTATGTATGTATGCATGCATGCATGCATGCATGCATGTATGTATGTATGTATGTATGTACATATGCGTGCATTCATGCATGCACGTATATGTATGTATGTATGTATGTATGTATGTATGTATGTATGTATGTATGTATGTATGTATGTATGTATGTATGTATGTATGTATGTATGTATGTAGGTCGGTAGGCACGTATGTATGCACGTATGTATGCACATCTCGTGTATTTATAGTTTGATCGAATACGCCTACGACGAATCACCGCCGCCCCCTGCCTTTTTGGAAGCGCCTATGTGGCCGAACGTTGAGGCCAGACCTGCCAAGCTATCGGACCATGTGTTCCCCGAGTCGGTTTGGAAAGCCTTCGGGGAACACGTGCGCATCTTGAAGGTCATCTTGCCCGTCTGGAGGCCATTTGGACCCTTTCGGGCCTTCTTGGAGGACGTCTTGGGGGGCTCTTGGGCCGTCTTGGAGGCCATCTTGAGCGTCTTGGAGACCTCTTGGGTCATCTTGGGGGCCTCTTGGGGCCGTGTCTTGGGCCTCTTGGGCGATCTTTGGGGGCACTTGGGCCGTCTCGGGCCGTCGGAAGGCAGAAAAATAGCAAATGCCACAATCCTTCAAACACCCAGGGGAAATCAATGATTTTGGCCTTTTCGGGCCTTCCTGGAGGCCCTCTTGGAGGCCTCTTGGGCCGTCTTGGGCCATCTTAGGGCCATGTTCGGCCGTCTTGGTGGGCTCCTGGTCCGTCTGACGCCGTCGGAAGCCGTTTGGGGGGCCTCTATGGGCCGACTTGGGGCCCTCTTGGAATGCTCCATGGCCGTCTTGGAGGCATTTTGGGCATCTTAAAGGCCTCCTGTGCCGTCTTGGGTGCCTCTTGGGGCCGTCTTGGGGCCCTCTTGGGCCGTTCTGGGACCATCTTGGAGGCCTCTTGGGCGATCTTTCGGCGATCTTTGGGGGCTCTTGGGCCGTCTTGAGCTGTCGGAAGGCCGAAAAGAAGCGATTGTCAAACTCCGTACACAAACCAACGGAACATCAAGGTTTTTGGCCTCTTCTGGCCTTCCTGGAGGCCCTCTTGGGGGCCTCTTGGGCCGTCTTGGGCCAGCTTCGAGCCAACTTCGGCCATCTTGGTGGTTTCCTGGCACGTCTGACGCCGTCGGGAGCCGTCTTGGGGGCCTTTCTGGGCCGACTTGGGGCCCTCTTTGGGCGCTTCGGGGCCGTCTTGGAGGCCATCTTGGGCGTTTTGGAGGCCATCTTGGGCGTGTTGGAGGCCTCTTGGGCCGTCTTGGGACCCTCTTGGGGCCGTCTTGGAGGCCACTTGGGCCGTCATGGGGCCCTCTTGGGGGCCTCTTGGGCGATCTTGGGAGCCTCTTGGGCCTTTTGGGCCGTCGGAAAGCCGAAGCGGCGCAAATGCCAGAATCCTTCAAAAACCTACGACAATCAATGATTTTGGCCTCGTCGGGCCTTCCTGGAGGACCTCTTGGAGACCTCTTGGGCCGTCTTGGAGGCCTCTTGCAGGCCTTTTGGGCCGTCTTAGACCATCTTGAGGCCATCTTGGGCCGTCTTGGGTGCATCTTGGAGCCATCGTAGCCGTCTTTGAGGCCATCTTGGCCGTCTTGGAGCTAATTGGAGGCCATCCTGGGACATCTTGACCGTCTTGGAGGCCATCTTGGGCCATCTTGGGCCATCTTGGGGCAAGAAAGACGACGACAGGTGGGTTTTCCGGGGGGCCGGTGGGACGGGCCGAAGCCCCAGGGGGAGTTTTTTTGGAAACAAACCAAAAGCCATATTGTTTGGCACGCCAAGCACCCCTTTGATAAATCTAAAGGGGGCGGCGGATCCAGTAGCTTTCGGCGCATCCCGCCACCGTTTCTGTGATGTGGGGCCGGGCGCAGCTGAAACGGCCGACTACAGGGAAGCTGGAACGGACCTGGCGTGCAAGTCGCAATTGTTTCGGGTTCGTTCCAGCCACTGCTCGTTTTTCCAGCCCTTGCCACTGCCACTTTCATTGAATTTCAAGCGTCCACTTTTTCAGGCTTCTCTGTACCAGAACATGTTTTTTGCAACCCATGTTCCTACAGGTTCCCCCCTGGGTGGGGGCGTTCAGGAGCATGGTCGGTTGGAAGTGCATACGAGTATCGGGATGAGTCCCTCGCAGAGGGCACCCCCAGCGAGAGTGTTCCTTCTTCTCTGGCGCGTACGTATCGGTCGTTACCCGGGCCTTCCCCATTCCTTCCTCTGGGTAGCAGTAGCCTGAAGTCGGGCATTTCTCTCTACAGGAGGAGCATTCAAAAATAGTAAAAAACTAGTCAGGGGACGATTTTTCTTCTAGTTTTGACCATTTGGGAGCATTGTTTGACTATTTGCTTTTTCCTCGAGAATCCGCCTGTAGGATTTTTCGATTGTTTCTCGACTATTTTTGAATATCATCTGACTATTTCTCATCTCTCTTCCGAGCTCCGCCCGTAGGAGGAGATGCTGCTCGTCGGCCCAGCAGTAGCCACCGTACATGCCGGGGGGCGTCGGGCTCTCACGTCGGCGTGCGCGCGCGCTTACCATAATTGTTTGGGCATCGCGCCTCCCCCCGCGCGGACGACGTGCCCCACCGCTCCGCCCAAGCGTGGCCGCTGCCCGGGGCCCCCCACCCTCACCCCTCCGCAGGGCTCGTTTCGGTTCCTCCGCTTCGATCCGCTTCGACTTCGATGGCCTTCGATTCCAGCTCGAGGCGGTTTCGGATGCCGATCTCGGCTCCGATGGTCTCGCCAGACGCATGCTGGCCTGCCGATTCCCACAGCTTCGAGACTTCTCCCAGCGCGGCTGCCGGTTTCCGCCGATCCGATCTATGTCTATCGCCGATCCGACTTGTCGATTCGATTCTGGGCTCTCCTGCCTCCGGGTAGCGACCGTGACCAGAAACGGTAACAAACGGGTACCTCGGCGGCAGCCATCGCCAGCTGCTGCCAGTAGCCAACACGCCAAGTGGCCTTCGCGCAGGAAGCCGCCTCACCGTGTGACGAGGGGGGAAGCAGTAGGCGGGGGATGATGAGGTGGGAAGAGGGGGAGGAGGCATACGGAGGGATGGAGGAGTGCCCGAAGAGGTGCGGTACGACAAGGGAGGCTCCGAGATGGGGTTCGGCATGTTCGGCCTCAGCGAGGAGCGCAAGGCTGCCCAGGGGCGGGCTACTCCGGCCCGGGACGGTGTCCCCGACTCCTCCGCGTTGTCCCTCCTCTCCGTCTGGGTGGTTGAGCTCGCCTCGTGGTTCAAGGGAGTGAGCAGGGAGGCCACGCTTCTCGAGCTCCCTGAGACGGAGGAGCGAGCCCCTTGTTTGCGCCCGCTGTGGTGAGCGTAGGGGGAGTCCTTCGATTGAGCCAGGGCGGCGGGCGCCAGTGACAGTCTCGGCCTCAGTCCCTGCAAGTGTCTCAGAGTCAGTTTCCCCCCATTCCGCGCGAGGGGCGCCGTCGGGTCGCCGGCATGGGGCTGGCCGGGGGGGGTTGCTCCACGGCCACCGGTGGAGCGGCACTTCCTGCCGGCGCCCCGCTTCGCGAGCTCGTCGGGAGCTCGGCGGGGCCTCAGGGAGCCCGAGGAGGAGTAGGAGGAGGAGCAGGAGGACGGAGGAGGACGGAGGAGGACCCAGGAGGACGGAGGAGGACGGAGGAGGACGGAGGAGGACGGATGAGGACGTTGGACGGAGGAGGACGGAGGAGGGCGGAGAAGGGCGGAGGAGGGCGGAGGAGGGCGGAGGAGAACGGAGGAGGACGGAGGAGGACGGAGGAGGACGGAGGAGGACGGAGGAGGACGGAGGAGGACGGAGGAGGACGGGGGAGGACGGAGGAAGACGGAGGAGGACGGAGGAGGACGGAGGAGGACGGAGGAGGACGGAGGAGGACGGAGGAGGACGGAGGAGGACGGAGGAGGACGGAGGAGGACGGAGGAGGACGAAGGAGGACGGAGGAGCACGGAGGAGGACGGAGGAGGACGGAGGAGGACGGAGGAGGACGGAGGAGGACGGAGGAGGACGGAGGAGGACGGGCGGCAAAGGCGCGGGCGGCAAAGGCGCGGGCGCCTTCCTCTTGCCCCCGACGCGGCAAGACCACCTCCTGGCTGACGAGCACCTGCAACCAGCGCTCGCCCTCCGGCTGCGCTTGCCACTGCCCGAGGGAGCCAGCCCCACCTGCCTGCGGCGGAGGAGCGACGGCACGGTCTGCGGCTGCGACCTGCGCGCGGACCCCGGCCACGCGGTAGGCTGCCCCGCGGGCGGCCTGGCCATCGAGAAGCACGACGGCGTGCGCGACTGGCTGGCCGGCTGGCTGGCTGAGCAGGGCGCCGCGGGCGTGGACACCGAGCAGGCCGTGCCCGCCTGGGACCGCGCCCGCCCGGACGGCAGCGTGGAAGCCGCGCGCTTGGACGTGACCTACGTTGATCCTGTCGCTGGGCGGCAGTACGTCGACGTCACGGTCACCGACGCTGCGCTCGGGGCTGGCACGGGCGCGGGCCGCAGCCGCGCGACCAGGGACGGCGCCGCGGCCGCGGCGGCCGAAGAGCGCAAGCACCGGCGCTACCCAGGGCCCGCGCTCCTCGCCTTCGCACTCGAGACGCTGGGCCTGCCTGGGAAGGAGGCGCAGGCCCTGCTGCGCACTTGGTCTGCCGGGGACCCACAAGTCCTCGCGGCCGCGCGGCAAAGCCTCTCTGCCGCGCTGCAGCGGGGCAACGCCGAAGCCTGGCGGACTGCCGTGCTGCCGCGGGGCGGCGCGGCGCGGCGGACGCCTGCCGCGAACCCCGGCGCGCCGCCAGCGCGGCGCGCGCGGCGCGCGTAAGCGCGCCTGCCCTGGCTGCTGACCGCTGACCGGGCGCGACCCGCGGCCCGGCCCCCTGGCGCCGCCGCGGCTGCTGGAGCTGCACCCCGCGCCGCGGACGCTGCGGCCTTGCCGCCGCGGGCACGCATTGGGCCAGGTGGGGGAGGATTGTGTCACAACC